GCGCGGGCTGCCCCCGGCATCGAGGCCCGTGGTGGGTCTGTGCCACCGCTCCCCACCGGGTCTGTCGGGCTGTTGCTGTGGGGAAGAGCAGAAGTAAGGGCCTCGGCTTCTGCCCCTCACCGTGGGGAGGGTTTTGGGGCCAGCTGGTCCTCACCCCATCTCACAGAGGCACTCCTGGGAGCTGAAGGAACGACAGGAACTGGAGCTGCTTTCTCCTCGCCCTGCAGCAGGGCAGAGATTTCCTCTCCTCTCCCTCCCCAGGGCTGCTCTCTGGCTGCTGCGCTGGGCAACTGGGGAATGAGACTGGAAGGGAAGAGCAGTGGGAAGGGAGCGTGGGGACCGTGGGTCGCCGAGGAGTGGGAGGAGGAGGGTCTGACAGCTCTGTTTCGCCCTCTCCAGAAGCGGCGCAGGCCCACCCTGGGCGTGCAGCTGGACGACAAGCGCAAGGAGATGCTGAAGCGGCACCCCTTGTCCGTCACCGTCGACCTGAAGTGCAAAGGTGAGTGGGGTCTGGTGGCCCTCTGCAGAGAGCACACGAGGGGGTGCAACAGCAGGTCGGGGAGCAGCCGGCAGCAGCTTGGATCCTTGGGAAGAGCTCGGGGCGCAGAGAGGCTTTCCTGCCCTCGGCCCAGCTGCTCCGACAGGGATGAGCACAGCCTTCCAGGGGAGACTGAGCAAGGTGCTTTCTCAGCTCTGTCTCCTGCGGCTCTTCCCGCCCATGTGGGTGGGGTGAGCTTGCTCTGAAGCTTCCTCCAGCTAGCCGGGAGCTTTGCTCTTTTGTGGGTGGTCTTGGGCCCAACGGTTACAGCCTGGGAAGTGCTGCTGGGCTGGTGCTGGAGGTTGCAATGCACCGGTTGCCAGTTACTCCTCGCGTTGCCTCTCTGACCCATTTGCTGTTGTCCTAGCAGAGGGGCATGTGCGTCCCCCTCTGCAGAGTGCTCCGAGCTAGAGCAGACAGCGATGTTGTCCCTTCTCTGTTGGCACAGATGACAACGTGCTTCACCTGACCTTCTACTACCTGATGAACCTCAATGTCATGACGGTGAAAGCCAAGGTGACGACTGCCATTGAGATGACAACCGCCATCAGTGCGGGGTAAGGAGAGCCCCGGGGGGGCCGACCCCTCCGCTTGCCGCGCAAGCCCTGCCCTGGTGTCCTGCCGTGCTCTCTGCAGCGACGCATTGGCAGAGCGATGCAGTGCCAAGGGCAGCGCGTGGTGGCAATGTCCCTCTGCTGAGCTGTAGCTCTGGCACCCAGCGGGCCGGGGCACTCCATGCCCAGTTGCCTGCTCCCAGTGGGTGAGGGTTTAGCCTCAGTCCCTCGCCTGGCCTTACCTGGGGCACCTGAAGGGCCTTTGGGCAGAGCTGCAGTTCCAAAGTGCTTTCTTGGCTTGTCCATTGCTGGGCAAAAGAGTTGCCAAATAGCTCAGCTCCATCTCTGCCTCTGGGGAAGGCTTTCACCTTGTGCGTCCTCTGTCTTGCAGCACCCTTCCCCTTAGCTCCAGGGCCTTGCCGGGAGCCCTGCCAGGCTGCCGCTGCCCAGGCAGCATCGTCCTCCTCTCCCCCTGTCACAGCAAGCTGGGGACAGGGAGGTTGGGAACCTCTTAGAGCAGTGCCAGAGCTGTCAGGAGCTGGGAGAGAACCTCTCTGGCTTGTCGCATTCAATCACCCTCGCATAGCTGGATCGCTTTCCTCCCGCCTGCAGCCTGTTCCTGGCAGCTCCCTGCACCCGCTTGCTCTGCGGGTCACCTTGTCTTGAGCCCTGGAGATGCGGCTCGCGCCTCCCTGGGGCCC